TTGCATTTCTCTAATGGCTGGTGATTCGGAGCATTTCTTCATGTGTCTGTTAGCTGCTTGAATGTCTTCTTTGGTGAAGTGTTTGTTCATTTCCTCTGCCCATTTTTTAATTGGCTTATTTGTGTTTTTATTGTAGAGGTGTTGGATTTTCCTGTAGATTTTAGAGATTAGATCTTTGTCAGATTTGTAACAGCCAAAACTTTTTTCCCAGTCTGTAGGTTCTCTTTTTACTCTTTTGGTGAAGTCTTTTGATGAGCATAAATGTTTAATTTTTAGAAGATCAATGTTTAATTTTTTAAGACGTCTTTCATCTCTCCTTGCTCCTATTTCATAGTAGCCTATTCTTATTTATGAATGCACTATCCTCTCAAATCTCTCTGCAGAGACTAATTCAGTTTTTATTTTTTAGTGTGTGTTTGTTTATGTCTTCTTTCTTTCCTTTATCTATTTCCTCCATGGTCAGTTGCTCTTTCACACATCTTGGTATTTCACTTTTACCAAATACTTGTTGATTCTTGGTTGATTGATAAGATTTTAATAAAAAGAATATTGGTTGATTAGCAGAAGTAGTTGGAAAAATTATTACTTGCAGTTTGGAAGAACAGTTTATTCATGAGACTCACGGCCGAATGGAAGACTAACTCTACCTTCTCTGCGAGAAGATGGGTCTCATCAGAGACAAGCTTCTCTTTAGAGTGTATGGACAATTTAGCTTGTGCCTGAATGACTATCAGAGTGAGGAGGCCTTTACCTTGGGTGGTGAGGTTCTTTAGTGTATTTCACTCCTAGCTGGAGCTGCCTTTTCCTTCCTTCTCCTCTGAGTCTCCTGCAAAGGTACTGAGCTATCTCTGGCTTTGTGGCAACATCCACAGGAGAAGCCTTTCCCAGGAAAATCTTCTACTCTGTTTTTGGGGCACTTCCTTTGTTCTTCCAGTTACCATGGAGTCAGTTCCGACTCATGGCAATCCCATGTGTGTCAGAATAAACCTATGCTCCATAGTGCTTTCAGTGGCTGATTTTTTAGAAGTAGATAAACAGACCTTTCTTCTGGGCACCTTTGAGGGGACTTGAACCTCCAACCTTTCAGTTAGCAGCTGAGTGAATTAACTGGTTGCACCTCACAGGGACTCCCCTTTGTCTCTGGTAGGGAGCAAATGCTGTAGCCAGCTGCTCCCAAGACCTGTGAAGTAGGGGGAAGGTACTTGAGCTGAAGATTTCACAGATACACATTAAGTTCTGAGCATCACTGCTCCTCAACTGTCCTTGTTCTTGCCCTAGTCACTCCTGTTCTCCACACATGATGCCTTCGAGCTTGGAACCTCCCTAGAGTTCTGCCAGGAACTCAGCCTTCTCCTGTGAATGCTCCAGGCTGTCCTTCAATATGATCTACTTTCCTGTTTTTGGTATAGAAATATTTCAGACTTATGAAATAATACATGAAATAACATGGTACACATCCATGTTCCTATCATCTAACTTAGACATAAAATGTATAAATAAACATAATTGAAACCCTTGTGAACACCCTCCCTGATGTCTTTATCCTCAGTTCTGAGCGCAGCCTTGCAGGGGCTATGGCAGCCTGTAGTCATGTTTGCACCATTGGGGTGGGACCCTGTCGGGTGCAGGCATAGCCCATGTCTCAGTTTCCTAGCGTAGCTGTAAGATAAACTATCACAAGTTGATGACTTTAAAGAACAGAAATTTATTTTCTCCCAGTTCTGGAGGTTAAAAAGTTCAAATCAGGGTCTCAATCCTATCAAGCCCTTCTTTGTAGGTAGTCCCAGGTATGCCTTGGTTCCTTTGCTTATAGACAATCCTTACATGGCACTTGTCTTCCCCTATGTATGCCCATCTCTGTGTCTAATCTGCTCTTTTCATAATTCAAAAGTGATTAGGTTTACAACCCACCTTACTCAGGTATGATCTAATTAATGTAAAGAAAACCCTCTTTCCAAACAGGATTACATCCACAGGTATAGAGGTTAGGATTCCAACACATATTTTGGGGGGACACAACTTAATCCACAACAGACTGGAATGTCACCCTTAGGTGCTGTGGGGAACTAAGACAGCATGGGATGCCTGGAAGGAGTAAGGTCTTGGAACTAGGCTCAACTCAATTGCATGGGCTGGAATCCTTTCCAGTGAGAAAAGGGCCAACTAGGAGTGCTAGGACATTACAGCCAATGGTTTTAACGACTGATAACGGGGACAGTGTTCTGGTGGGGAGAATAGCATTTGGTCAAATATGCATTCATGAGACTGCCTTGTGAGCCCAGGGGGGATTTCTAGAGATCCAGAAAGACACAGAGGCAGGCAGGTGGCATCCAGAATGCCTGTCAACAGGAAGCAGACCCTTCCAGAAGGCAGGATGCAGAAGCAGGACAAGAACCGACAAGAGCAGGACTAGCTCCAGGCCTAGACAGAAGAGTCTTGTAGGCAGAAAACAAGTGTGGTAGGAGGTGGGTAAGTAAGGTGTAGGGAGTAAGAAAGTTCGGTTGCCAGAATTTGGAATCAAGATACTGCTTAAGTCTCAGGAATAAAATGAGCTTGGCCAGATCAACAACAAGAGTAAAGATGTAGATTCCTCAAGGCTAGAGCTGCTGAAATTCCTCCTGCTAATACTCAGAACTGGTCCTGGACTAAATTGATCGAGGTCACGTGGTCTCAGCACAGGAAGTGAGGAGGTGAGGAAAGGAGAAGGGAGGGAAAGTAGAAGCTAGGGACCAGGTATGACCTGACACTATCACCTGACCTCAAAGCGGCTTATTCCGTATTTATGAACAAGCCAACATATCAGAAATTAAGCAAAATTATAAAGCTTACTCTGCCCCTCCACATACTCACACATACACAAACACACATACACACACACACCATGCAACAAATTCCCCAGAGCAGCAGGAAAATGTCATTTCATTTTGAGTACCTTCTGTGCGCCAGGCACTGTGCTGTGAGTTAAGACTTCAGTGGGGATTAACATATGGCCCTGACCTTCAACAATTCCTGTCTGGCCGGGGAGTCAGATATGCCATCAGGTGGCTTCAGTTCATGTGAATAGGGCTGTGCTGGAGGAGTTCCTGGGCTGCTGTGGCCACTGTGGAGGGGACCCTCCCCCACACTGAGGAGAGTCGGGAAGGAGGGAGGAGAGGAGACAAAGCATGCTGAAAACGTGAAGTGTTCCAGAAACCACAAGTACTTCAGTACTTCTGGAGCACAATCTAAGACTGGTTAGAGATCATGGAGTCTGAGAGCTGTGGGTTCAAATCCCACCTCTACTACATACCAATGTGAGATCTTGAGCATGTTACTTAATTTCTGTAAACCTCCGTTTTCTCCTCAGATCATCTGAGGGACAAGAAAAAGTGCTGGAGATACCTTTATTGCTTAAAGTCCATACTCCTGAGACCGTGGAGATAAGGAAGAATAAAAGACAATTCAAGAAGAAGGTATATGCCATACTGATTATGAAAACTATTTAACATTTATTACTTTTTTTAGGCTTAGTAAACTCCAGCCTCAAAAGCTACATACGCTAAGAATTGGAATTGATTAGACATGACACTAGAAATAGATCAAACTATTTCATCTTCTCGTTACAAGTTTCCATGAAAATAGTATTAATTTTATTTTTCATTGCTCTCATACAGACAAATGAGGACTACCATATATGCCTTCTCTAAAAAATTAAGTGTTATGTTTATCAAAGACATTTACCACCCTCGTATGTGATAAGATATAGTCAATGATCAATCAGCAATGCTAGTGGCTAATGGATAGGGAGACCATCTGGACAATCTCCCCAAGGTAAGAAATTATAGTGATCTGTTTCCCTTTGGATTTTTTTAACCATATACTTGCAAATGAAAAAATATGAATTCTCAATTTAATCAAAATTATATATATATAAAACTATGAAGACACAACATGTGAGGAGACAAGATTGTTTGGCTTCCTTTCTGTGCCTTCCTATTCAGAAGTCTTCTCTTCACTGACTCTGTGCTGAAAATAGGCAGCACCTCTTAACTGATGGGTAAAAGTACTAACTACTGAGGATAAGCTAGAAATAACATTCTGCTGAGTCAAGACATGGCTGGGATTTATGCCAGTATTCCCGTTCACCACATCTGGACAACTAATTCTCTTCAGCTGGGCATTAAACATGAGTTGGGGTCAACTAGACAGAACTAGAACAGTGTCTCCACCAGCAAGGATCAGTGCTTAACAGTGATAGTTTTGATTTCAGTGAAGAAGTCATAAGAGTCCTTGGCTCCTTCTCTGCCAATCCCAGAACTCTTCATCCCCCCGAAAGGAAGGTTCAGCTCTCTGATGAGCCAGCAGTTGGTCCAGACCAAACCTGACTGCAGCTTCTTCGCCACCCGGTGGACACGTCCCACGTTGCTGGACCACACAGTAGCTGCCAGGCCATATTTAACGCTGTTGGCTCTTTTAATCACTTCCTCTTCACTGTCAAAGGGGACGACACACGTCAGCGGACCAAATATCTCTTCCTTCATGCAACAGGATTCGTCCTTAATGTCTGTTATCACCGTGGGAAGCATAAAGTAGCCGGCTTGATTTCTGGGAGGTAGGCTCAACTTATCCACTCCCTCACCGCACAGAATTTGGGCCCCTTCAGCACGCGCTTTCTCAACATAACTTCTGACCTGGGCAGGTAAAAACTGTAATTAGCAACAATCTTACCATTTGTGCTTCACACACATCAACAAAAAATTCAATATTTTCTGGTCATCTAGGAGAGACGTATACAGTCGTTGCTAAGAAATCCAGGTTAACCAACTTATCACTCAGCGGATGAGCCTGAGGGCCAAGGCACTCTAACCATCCTAATCATCATTTGGGCGTTCAGTCCTCAAACTTATTGGGGGGAGGGCGGAAGGGTGAAAGGGAGCTTATTTCATTTCTAAGGGTCAGGCACTCTGATAAGTGCTTTCATATATTATCTCACTTAGTTCTCTCAAAATGCTATCAGGTGTTCTTATAGATTGAATTGTGTCCCCAAAAAAGATATGTTGAAGTCCTAACCCCTGGTACCTATGAATATGACCTTGTTTGGAAATAAGGTCTTTGAAGATGTTATCAGTTAATGTGAGGCCATAGTAGAGCAGGGTGTGCCCTGATCCCATCTGAGTAATATCTTATAAAAGAGAAAAGATACAGAGAGAGACAGATGAGGAAGAACAGTCATGTGAAGATGCATCTACAAGCTAAGGAATGCCTGGGACTACCAGAATCTGGGAGAAAAAAGAAAGGATTTTCCCCTAGAGCCTTCAGATGGAGCATGGCCCTACGAACATTGCTTTGGACTTCTAGCCTCCAGACCTGAGAGACAATAAATTTCTGTTCTTATAAACCACCCAGTTTGTGGTATTTCATTATGGCAACAAAACTAATATAGGTGTGTATTATTATCCTCTAACTGAGCTTCAATAAGCACTGATGGTGCCATGGTTAAGTGCTCAGCTGCTAACTGAAAGGTCAGTGGTTCAAACCCACCAGCCGCTCCATGGGAGAAAGACCTGGCAATCTGCTCCTGTAAAGATTACAGCCTTGGAAACCCTGTGAGACAGTTCTACTCTGTCCTATAGGGTTGCTGTCAATTGGAATTGACTCAATGGCACATAACAAGAACAACAACAATTGAGCCTCAGGACGGGCTAATGAGTACCCAGGCTCACACAGCTACTAAAGTGTAAAGCTAGGATGCACACTCAGGGATAACCTGGAGATAAAACTCAAGAGGATATTTTCTCACTTTTTGGGGTACATCCATTGCAGAAAATGGGAAGTGAATGATACGTAAGATTTTGTTAAAAGCCAGGATGCCCTTCAATAGCTAAGCCTACAGAACAAATAATTTCTAATCTCATTACTGATTATGCCCACAAAATACATCTAGGTAATATAGTATAGCTAACTATAATGGGAAATAAATTATGTAATAAGTTAGCTCAGTGACTCAGAGATAAAGACAGAAGTTTATTAATAATGGTTGTAGAAATGAATGATTATAATAATGACAAGTTTTAATATGGAAATATTGTTGAAGTCACAATGATATATTATTCTACTTCTGAGGGGTATTATCAGCATAGAACACGTGAAAAATAGCCCTAAAAATTAAAAGTACAGAACAACAGTCAAGTAGTAAATTAAAAGAAGGGTAAATTTTGAGATGATATTTTGGATTCCAGTTTATGATTTATCTATAAGAGCATTCTGCCCCAGTATTGATTAATAAATACTTCATTGTAGAACTACCTTCATTGTAGAGCTATTTGTTTATTGGCCATGTAAAAAAAAGTAATGTTATTCTAGTCTATTATTAACCTTCCTTCAGTTTGTAGAACATTTAATAAGCCATAAAATCAAAGACTTTTTTTAAAATAGAACATTTTGTACAGATTCATATCCTCCTTCTACCATACCAGAAGCCCTGGTGGCACGTGGTTAAAAGCACTCGGCTGCTAACCAAAAGGTCGGCAGTTCGAACCCACCAGCTGCTCCACAGGAGAAAGATGTGACAGCCTGTTTCTGTAAAGATTACAGCCTTGGAAACCCTAGGGGGCAGTTCTGCTCTGTCCTGTAGGGTCCCTATGAGTCAGAATCGACTCGATGGCAATGAGTTTGTTTTTGGGTCTACCATACCTTCTCCCCCAACTTCCAAAATGATCTCAAAGATGTCCCAGAACTTCCCCTATTCTAGTTTGTGGGTAGGGACTGAAGAGAGTTTGTCCCTCTCTTTCCCCATACTCCCATGCTCCTTTTGAAACAGCCTAAGCACATTTAATAAAAGATGGCAAAAGGGCTGCAGTAGCCAGGGCTTTTGTCAGTGATTCAGGACAGTGCAAGGAGTGCTCTGGCTTTAGATGATCATGACTGTGTAAACGAAATTACGTGATTATCTTTTAGAGGCTCCTGGGATAGCAAGAGATGTACAGAAGTGTCAGCCTGCAAATTGCGAACTTTATCAAAATACACAATACATAAGGTGACCCACACTAAACTGAATTCTTGTTCTAGAGACAGTTTCACTGGGTGAGTAGAATATTACCTACAATAGCAGCTTGGGAACTGAGATTTTCAATAGAATCTAGGGGGGAAAAGCAACTTTGTGACTGATAATATGCTATAAAATGGAAAAAATTATTAGTATAATTTTTTTTCTTAATTTTGAGGGGAGATAGTAGCTTTAGGCAAAAAATCAGAGCACAGTGGTTGCAAGGATAGCTCTGGAGCCACACTGTGTTCAAATTCTAGTTCCTCCACTTACTAGCGAAAAGAAGAAAAATTGATTGCCATCGAGTCAATTCTGACTCATAGTGGCCCCATAGGACAGAGCAGAACTGCCCCATATGGTTTCCAAGGAGCAGCTGGTGGATTCCAACTGCTGACCTTTTGGTTAGCAGCTAAGCTGTTAACCACTGCACCACCAGGGCTCCTAAGGGATTTTAAATACTCTAAGCCTCAGTTCCCTCATCTGAAAAACAGGATTAACACTACCACTTACACATACGGTTCTTGGGAATTTTATCTATTAAGTAAAATAATAGATGTAACAGATTTAGCATAATGCCTGTACGTGTAAGTCTCTGTTGAATGTTAGCTGCTGCTGTTGCTGTTAATGATAATGATGATGATAATGATGCATGATTTGGTACATACTAGCTAAGGGACTTTACAGATACCCCTCAGTCTGTATGTCAGTTTCTTTATCTGACAAATGGGGATAGTGGGACCACAAGAGTGGACCATCAGCCTGAAGACTCTATTAGGAGATGTGTCTGTGAAGTTTCTCGGTGCTCCCTCCAGCCCCAGTGTAACACTCAAGAATTCCATTTCTCTTGTTACTTGCATCTTTGGGCAGGCAGGCACATAGCCAGATTCTCCAGACAGTCAAGTGGGGAAGGCTCAGGAGGGTAATAAGGAAAACAAAAACAACCCCAAGAAAAAGGCAAAGGGAGCCTTTTCTTCGTTCCATGAGGACAGAATCACCTGCAATTTATTGTGCATCCCCATGGAGTCACTGGCAGCCTGGGAGTCACACTTCCATTTAGGGATCTGCTGCATCTCTGCAAGTGTCTGAGCCCCTTGCCACTACAAAACCACTTTTACATATTCTAACTGATTCTTCTGTCAATCACACCACCATCTATTATGCTAATCACACAGTATGATGGGCACAAAGACCAGGGCTAATTTGATTTGGAGAAGACACAGAAACACTGCAGGGGAAGAGAATAATTGGAAAGCCAGACCTTCCTTTGCACACAGCCCCCAAGGCTTTGCGGTGAGAGGTGGGGGAGGATGAGCATGACCGGAGTGTGTCCGTTGCCTTCTCCATCCTAGACAGTTGAACGGCTTGAACTAAAAAGGTCATAATCCAAAAAGGCCACACTCACACTCTCCCGGTTGCTTCTATTAGCTCTCTCCAAAAGGGTAGAGACACTTAGGGCTTCCTCACAAGAACTGAACTGAAAGCTCCTTGTCAGGAGTCCCCCTGTAGGAGACTCTGAGAGTCTGCACACACACCCTGGGCGGACCAGTGGGGATGGCAGAGGGCCAGGGACCCGCGGAGCCCAATAGGGCTGAGTCAGCAGACTCTCAGGCAGAAAGTAGATCATTCTGAGGCTTTCAATGTCGGAGAAAATGCGAGCAGAGTTGAAAGGAGCTCTACTCTAGGTAGGAGGGGTCACACAAACAGGATTACAACACAAGACAATTACCAGCCATTTTAGATATGGGGTAATGGAAATCCCATCGCCATCATTCTTCTCTAACAGAGAACGTGGCCGACGATAAAGACTACTTTGAAGTTCTTAACTGTGAATACCTGTTTTTAACTGTTCAAAACCTTTCCCCTTAGAAGCAGGGGAACCTTAGAACTTTCTGAGATGAGTTCAAACTAATTGGCTGTATTTTATTTTCAAGATTTCCAAAGAAAGTGGATAAAAAATTATTTTCTGTAAGGATCAAGTAGAAAATCAAAAGCAAACGATGGAAAAGTCTGGAGTTTAGTTAATAGTAATGTACCAATGTTGGTTTCTTATTGTGGACAAATGTACCCTGGTAACATAAGATGTTAACAATAGGGAAAACTGGGAGAGCAGACACGGAAACTCTCAGCATTCGCTCTAAAACTTTTCTGTAAATCTTAAACTATTCCAAAATACAATGCTTATTTTAAAAAAAGAAGAAGAAGAAGAAGAAGTATTTCAGTGAGATAGAAAACATCCAATGGTAAAAATAAATTTTAAAAAAACCAAACCCATTGCCATCGAGTCAATTCTGACTCCAGACAACCCAGTAGCACAGAGTAGAACTGCCCCATAGGGTTTCCAAGGCTGACAATCTCTACGGAAGCAGACTGACACATCTTTCTCCCTCAGAGCAGCTGGTGAGTTTGAATCGCCAACCTTTTGGTTAGCAGCTGAGCACTTTAACCACTGTGCCACCAGGGCTCCTTAAAACCTGTTACCATCGAGTCAATTCTGATTCGTAGAGATTTTTAAAAGTTTTCTTTGAAAGATAAATATGCGCTTCCGGCCTTATGTTTGAAAATAATGGTAACTGTACATTAGAAAAAATTTTGTCAGGAAAAAATTGATGACTGTAAGTTTTATCATTTCCAGGGTGATCCACAGTG